GAGATTTAATACTTTTCTTATGGGTTTTCCAGGTATTCTTGAAGCTGTCTCACCACAGTAAAACTATTAGCTTACATTTTTTTCAGCTGTGAGTAGCTTTTCCTATGCACAATGGAAAATAAATAAATCCATCTCGTTAATTATGGAAACTCACATCTTTGACTTTCATTAAAAGGAATTTGGTCACTTACAATAAGTTAAATACTACATAAAAAACCAAAGAACACAAAATCTGAGATGCACACCCACGAAATAAAAATACATTCAATGAAACTTTTGCATTGTAAAACAGATGTAAAGCTACATTAGTAGAAGTACTGCAACAATAAAGATGTTCCTATGTGAGTGACTAGTCCATGCATAGTCCAGATGAAATTAAGTACACTCATCCAGCGATCGGATTATAAGTGAACCCTAATAAGCCTTGAATACACAAAAACAAGTTGCAGCATTACAGCAGATGTGGCATTCAGTGTGCACTTTTTGTTCTGAATGACCTCCAATACCAGGAATCAATGAAAGATTCATTTTGGGGAGGGGGGTCTCTAGGTGACCTTTGTGAAAATGTTCCACCATTTTGGCAGAATTCGTATAAGTGCAGACCATTTCATGTAGACAGTAAGTGTATGAAATGAGTGCTCCTGTCGTTCCAGCCAGGCTCTCTTTGACAGCATGATGATAGAAGCGTCACATCCTTGGGAGAGTAAATGCAAACTGACAAGAGATGAGCCTTTGGTTGCTGAATATAATACGGAATTGTGCTCTGAGTGTCTTATTATCTTGTCTGTTGATGTCTGAAAGGGGGAGATTTGCTTGAGAAGAGAAGACAGAAACTGTACGCATCCAACACCATCTCGTCCTCTGAAAAAATTGCTTGCCCTACTAACCACAGCTTTCCCACCTAATGTCCACTTCTACTTGGAATAAATACAAGGCGGCAGGATGTTTGTGGTGCCTCGTAGCCCCTGTTAGCTGAAGTGGAAGACTATTTGCACAGGCAAGCTTTTAGGAGGAGAACGACCCTTTCACCACTGCAGTAAGCATGTGGTGGGTGTAGAAGGTGGACAATTTACTGTAGACAAACATGACCGCTACTGTCATTGTCTCCCACTGACTTCCTTCTCATACTAGCAACAAACTAAAGTCATACATCAACTCTGTGGGGAGGAAAAGTTGTGGTAGGCTCTTCAATATAAAAATGCGTATATGGCACATGTAATTGCAGCACAAAGAAGACACACAGCACTATCAAGGTTCCTAGGTGACAGTGAAATTACTGCAGCAATGATGATTCAAAAGTGCTCAATATTGTTACAGAGTTGCATATTTATCACGGCTTTTGTACAAAAGAAGCCCCAGAGACAAGAGATCGTCTACAGCTCCATATATTTTCTGGTAGTATACAACTAATTAGCCGTAGGTCGTGCTCAACAGAAGACTTACAGGATATCCTCGCAACTGTTTCAATCATCAATCAAAAGGTGCACACTTTCAACTAGCTGCGTTATGAATGAGCACGTAATACAACTATTCTAAAATTAGTCAAGATGGCTTTGTTCTGTCGACACGATAGATACAGTAATACTTGAATTCTAGGGGAGCAAATTAAGTCTCACAATGATTTGCATTTCATTGAAACTACAAGTGTGTACTGTTATTCTGTGCATGTCATGAGTGTGTTGGTTTGCGTGCAAATGTCAATCATAAAATTGGAGCATTGTATCAGAGAGATTATGCAAAGTAACAGAACAAAGTTTTCATTTTTCTATACTCTGAAACAGATGAATCCAAAGTATTCTTCCCTTGCTTCTTTACCACAACGCAAGAGAAAAAGGGAAGAATCAGTTCAGAACCACATAAAGGAAACCACTGAATAATGTAAGGGCTACTTTAAAGGCTCAATTCGGGGTTATTTTCATATCCGTGGCATTCATGATGATAATATAGTGGTGAGAGCAGCAAACTTAATACAGTATCCTTGCAACCACGAGAGTTCACTGCAATCACAAATGCAAGCAAATGTGGCCCAATAAACTACAACATAAAATCCAACCAATGTATCAAACCTGAAGATCGTAATTACTGTCTAAAATGTTTGTTTTCATAAACTGATTAGTTATGCAAAGGGTCAAAATACCAGATGCATTACGTCTCATTGAGTGGAAATTGCATACATTTATGGCAACACGTGTTACGCTCAATTGGTTTTTCTGGAGGCTTCACAGACCCAACTCCACTCATATGGTGGGTAACATTATCCATCAACTGCAATTAAAATGTGAAAGTTTCCAAAATGTTCTTTCAAACCTCAACTAAACACCAAACAAAACTACTGCAACAAGGAGACTATATCCTTATTCTTGACCAAGTAAAATAAAATTTAGCAGTCACTATCACACCTTTTGTCTGGTGGCATTTAAGGAAACGTATAAAAAGATGCTGAGTCTGTCTTCTTCAACTCTCCCTTATTCTTACTTCCTATCACCCCAAGCAGAAGACACGACTATGCCACGTCTCCTCATCACTCCCTGCCTTTCTCTCTGACAGGTCATGTGGGCAGTGGTTCCCAAACCAAACCTGCCGCTGGCACAGCCCAGGGCTCTGCCATCGGCCAGAGAGAAACCATTCCCCCCAAAATTCACAAGTTACACTGGAGCGGCTCCGACCAGCCACATGCAGCATTAAGACGTGCCATCAAGGAAAAACAGAGAACAAAACAGACACAAAAAATCTCAGAAATTAGCAACATGTTACATAATTGAATGTTTTCCTAAATAATTTCTCTTTAACAAAGTCTCATTATTTATGTAAAACTAAAATAGCTGCAAATATAAATAAACAGCAAAGCATTTAAACAACATTTAAGTGAACGTGCACGAGAGAAAAAGAGGAGCAAAAAGTAGAAAGTGAGCAGCAGGAGATGAGTCAGATAGAGACTGATCAGAAACGAAGAGAGACTTGATGCTTATTAAACCAAATTGCAACACTTCTGAGACAAATCCTGCAGTACACAGTCCTTGTTTAGAAGACTCTAGCCTCGGCTCATTCTTGAAATAAGGATTTACAAGACAGCTGAACTCTTGCTGATGAGGTTTGAGAGTGATATTTGGTTATCCCTCCTCCAAACTCTTATTTAATTTCGTTCACAAATGTTTGGCAAGCTCAATATATGGGCATATAGTATCCCAGGAAACACACACACACACACACACAGATCCAGACATATTGATATATTACATTAACAACTCTCATTAAAATCTCTATAAACCCCCCAAAAAACATGCACTGTTTGCTGCAGTATGAATTCATAACCAGCAATAAAACAATTATACGCCAAAGTCTAACACACTTACACACAAAGGCGTGCACGTACACAAACAAACACACAGTTTACACTT